CCTCCACGTGACTAAGGATGGCGTTCTTTTCCAGGGACTGGTCTCTTCCGATAACATGCCTGGAAACTGTTCAACGGGAACTTACTGTGCTGTGCAAACTTCCACCAGTCACACCGTCTCCCTTCTCTATTTGCTGCTGCCGCAGAAAGACCAAACAGAAGCTTGTTTTCTCCCGACTTAAAAAAACACCCACCTCACCCACTGTCACACAGTCCCTTCTGACTCCCAATGACCCTAGAGGACAGAGCAGACCTGCTCCTTGGGGTTCCCAAGACCGGGCATCTTTACAGGGTTAGCTCTATCTTTCTCCTGAGGGGTGGCTGGGTGGGTTTGAATTGCTGATCTCCTCCAAGTTCAGGAGATTAGAAGTCTGACCCCACAAGGAGGATAATCCATCCCCAGGTAGGACTGTAACCCCGGGGAAAGAAGTTAGGATTTACATACAATACACATTTGAGGGGGAAATATTTCACATCACACAGATCACACAGCCTATGAATCTGTGCCCCCTCCCATCTACTCCTGTCTCCACTCGGGCCACTTTGATGATCCTGGAGCGACCAGGTCCACCCCCATCTTGGGGTCTTCCGGCTTCCTATTCCTCATCACGTTACAAGGACCATTTCCTCACCTCCTCTGGGGCCTCTGCTCAAGGGTCACCTCTTTGGAGCAGGCTCCCCTGTCCCTCTATCACTTTCAATTCGCTTACGCTCATTTTCTTTCCTCCCGAGCCCAGTTCACCGCTGTGGTGGTGAGCTGCAGTCGAGACCGCCCCCAACTCATAGCGACCATATGCGTCAGGGACAGGACCGCTACCCAGCTCTGAGCCATCCTGTAGTCAGTTTCGGATGAGGCTGTTCCCACCCAGAGGGTGTTCCAGTGGCTGATTAGGGGGAGTAGATGGCCAGGCTTTTCTTCCTACTTGTGGTGGTTACATGATCTGGTGTCCACTTAAGAGGATTAAGAGTAAAGGGGTGGAGTTTAGCCTGTCAACCAGGTCACAGCTTAATGACCTCATTTGGAGACCCTGCGGAGATAAGTAGCTCACTGGAATGCAGCCCCACACACTCTCTGCTTCATCTCCCTGTGAGATATTCCTGCTGACAAGCCACATGGAGACACACTGATGGAACCAGAGCCCTGGAGCTGGAGGAGCCATGCAGAGACCCATGCCAACGCTGAGATCCTTCCAATGCCACTGGATCTGCAAGACTTTCCACCCACTGGGCTGTGATCTTCCTGCATTCGGTATTATTGCACGGCTTTGTGAGTCTAAAGAGGAATTTATGGACTAATATTGGACATATGAGCTAATATTGGACTTCTGGACTTGATCTGGACTGGGCTAGGATGTTTCTCGATATACAATTACTCTTTTATATAAAGCTCTTTCTTATACACGAGTGTCCATGAATTTGTTTCTCTAGTCTACCCAGACTAACACACTACTCTTAGTTTAGAAGCTCTGTGGAAACCTGTACAACATTGGAGCACCATGCATGTGTCTGCTGAGATAAGTGGTGGCTGAACATGGAAAGTTCGAGTTCTACCTGTGATCTGCCAGCAGCTTCATTTCCTGCCCCGTCATTTATTTCTCTGGCTCCTTCCTGGCGGGCTGGCAGGCTGCCCTGGTCTTGGTTGCACCTTTAGGTCCTACAGTGGTACGGGGCAGACTAGTGCTAGATATCTGAATGGATGGAGAGTGGAGTAAAAGGTATGACCTGATGAAGAGGCCATTTGGCAACGGCCTGCATTATACCCAAGCAGAGACGCTTGGACCTGCCAATGCCACTTGGGCACGGTTGTCTAATGGTGGGTCACTCTCTCCTCCCGCAAGGGCAGCCCCCGCTTGTGATGAGGGCAGAGGTCAGAAACAGCCTTCCTTCACTGGCTGGCACTTGGGGGAACGGTTCCTAACTCACTCCCATTGAGTTGATGCTGACTATAGGACAGGGTAGAATTGCCCCACGTGGGTTTCTGAGACTTGAACTCCACAGGAATAGGAAGCCAAGGCTTTCAAACTACTGACCTTGTGGTTAGCAGCCCACCTAACCATTTTTCCAACAGGGGAAATGGCTAAAGAAATGCTTTTTTTTAAAAAAAAGGTGCATCCACCCACTGGCGTCCTATGGATGAAGGAGGAAGGTGGTTCTCGGGGTGCCTGACCGCAGTGCTGACTCACCACCGGCCGGCTGTCTGGTGCCAGGGGAATAACGTGGGTTTGCCCTGCAGTGACACAGGCGTGGGTTTGGATCCAGGCCCTGCTGCTTCCTGGCTGCGGGGCCTGTGGTGAGGCCCTTCTCTGTCAGACTCATCTCCGTTCCTCTAGCAGGGGAAAGGAGGCGTAGGCCGTTGGGGTGAGGCACAGCAAGCAAAGAACACAGAGCCCGCCACAGGCAGCCCAGAGTCCATGCCAGGCCCTTCTTGGCCTCTTTGAAGTCGTGTCCGCCTCTGATGGATGGGCGCCCTGATGTGAAACTGGCATAAGGGTGGGGGTGGGGGGTCTGGAGATGAGAAATTCACCCAAGCAAAGCACTTTCCAAGAGGTGTGTGTGCAAACAATGTGCGCTGAACTAACCTAAAAGGCTGGTGGTTCAAAGCCACCCATGGAAGGGAGGCCTGGAGAACTTTCTGTCAAGAGTCTCACTGCCATTGAATCAATTCCCGCTCATCCGGACCCCATAGGACAGGGTAGAATTGCCGCTGTGGCTTTCTGAGACCGGACAGTGGAAACCCGGTACTTGACCAAATCAGTCCTTGACATCATCGGATTTCATGAAATGTTGAGAACATTTTGCATTGGAGCTGGAACAAAACATCAGAATCTGACCTGATGCACGTGCTTTTTGTAAACAAAAGCAGTTCATGTTTCAGTCACTCAGTTGGCGTTGTTAGTACTCATTGTTTAACCTTTTGCGGCTGTGTGCCAAGCGTTTTGCTGTAACTTTCTTCGTTTTTGTGACTTTTTGTGCTGTTTTAGATAAAAAGCATGGGTCCTAAGAAAAAGTTTTTTGAAAAGAATCATCCTGATAAGGAACCGGTTAACCATATTACTGATATTGTTAAATTAGTAAACCTTTTTAGAAAATAAGTTAGAGAAATGCCAACAGAAGACCACATTAGACAGAATTTTTTTAGAGAAAGCTAGTCAGGCCCTATGGAAAAAGGGAAAAAACTCCTGAAAAGCAGTGACTAATTTATGGGATTCCCCATCCAATCAATGACTCCACAACTCCTCTCCACCTCCGTGTCCACAGATCCAGATCCTCATCAATCTCAAGGTATGGACCATACTGTAGTTGTTTAAAAAAACGTCTTTCATGTTGTGCTTCAATATTATTTAATTCTTACTTATTTACTTTGAAATTTCTGTGTAATGTTCTGTAGACAAAGGCAAAGTTAGGGTAAAAACTTGGTGGTCCAGAACGGATTAAGCCGATTTCAGTTATTTATGGGAAAAATCGATTCAGAACTCGACTGCATCGCATCTCCATGCTCCTTCTAGAGCGGATTGGCGTCACGGTCCGGGGTTCTACTGTAACTCTTTATGTGAGTGGAAAGCGCTATCATTTTGGTTTGTGGTTTCGAACTGCTGACCTTGCAGCTAGCAGCCCACGGAGTTTTTAACCACTAACCTAAAAGGGGCTTCGTTTAGTATTAAATAATGACAACAAAACCCTCATGCCGACTCATGGCGACCCCCTGTGGGTTTCCAAGGCTGTGACTGTTTATGGGAGTAGAAAGCCCCATCGTTCTCCTGCGGAGCTGCTGGTTTCAAACTGCGGACACCTCGAATCGCAGCCCCACTCTGTAACCACACCACCACCAGGGCCCCACCCTTCTAGTATTACCCACTCAAAAATGCTTTTGTAAATACTCTTAAATCAGATGGCAAACAAACTGGTGTATTTTCCACCCACCTCTATAACCAGTGAACACAGGTACGCGTGTTTTCGCTTCTCTTGCAAAATCTTCCATTCCCCCTAGGAAATCACCAGTGCCCGTGCGCACGCGGCGCGCCGCGGGCAGGGCGCACGCTCAGCACGGCTTCCCTCTCTGCGCGCGGAGCACAGCCGGCGTTTAAACGCTGGGCGCCTTGAGAACGTGCGGTTGCCAAACCCGAGGTGGCCAGTTAGAAACCACCACCAACTCCAGGGGGTAGGTAGATGGCAGCCTCGGAGACTAGGGGGCAGTTCTCCTCTGGCTTAGGAGAGCGCAGCAGGGTTTGGGTTTCTGCTCCAAGTCTTCCCAGCGCCTTCAGCATAACAGGCGTTATCCTGGTCCACTGGAGACCTAGGGGCCCTGGTGGCCAGTGGGCTATGCTCTGGGCTCCCAACCACAAGGTCAGCAGTTCTACTCCCAAGAGGGACAGTCTCTTTACAGAAACCCACAGAGGCAGTTCTTCTACCCTGTCCTATAGAGGAATCGACTGAGTCCAGTCCAAACCAGTCTGGACTCCTGTATATGGTTCCTCTCAAGCTTCGCGGCCTCTGCCTGGCTTCTCTCCGCCGGGAGTGCCCTTGTCCAACCAGACCTCCGCCCTTTCCCTAGGAGATCGGATCCGTCGGCCGTCGCCCTCCACGGACCCGGCGGCCTCTTTGCCAAAGACGCACGTCAGGCCTGATTCATTCCTGTGTTCTCAGCCCAGGACACCGGAGTTCCTCCCTGCGGCCCCACCCCATAGCATCCCGCCCTAACTGCTGAGCGGGTCGGATTCGAACTCGAAATATCCAGTGGTCGTTTCCTCTTTTCCTAAACCCGCTCCCGCCGCCTCCACCGTGGCGCACGCGCACTGAGGCCGAGCGGCGGCGACCCCGCCCCTCCCCGCCTCCGCTCGTGAGGCGCATGCGCGCTAAGACCAAACGTCTTCATCCACGCATGCTCCGTCGGACGCTCAAGCGTGTTCTTCCGCGACCAGCTCGCAGCGCATGCGCAGGACCGGCACCCCGCGGGACTTGAGCTTGGCCTGGTCCCGCGAGATCTTCTCCGCTTCCTCTCTCAGGCCAGCTTTGCTTGGGTGCTGCTTCCGGAACGCGTAGGCCTTTCTTGGGGTACCGGCCGCGAACTTTCTCCTCTCTCCGAAGCGTCCGACATCCCTATATGACCCCCGACGCCATTTACCGGCCGTATCCCCCCGTTCCTTCCACCCCTTCCTGCGCCGCGCCCCGACATCTACTCAACACCCGCTGTGGTAAGGGAGCCGCGTGCCCGCGGGAGGCGCGCTCCTCCGGGGGGCGGGGCACGTCGCCGAAGCCCCGCCCCCGCCGCGACCGTTAACCGGTCGTGAGAAACCGGAGGGAGCCTGGGTCCCACCGAGCCGCGCGGGCGTGGCGGGGGCGGAGAGGCAAATGGGCTTTAGTAAAGCGAAACTTCAGATCGGGGAGTCCCTGAGCGGGAGCGTGCTTGCGAACGAGCCGCACAGGACTGGGGTGGGGGTGGGGGGTGGCGAGAGAGGGAGGCCCCGTCCCCCCAAGAGGCGTAAAGGGAACCCTAAGTGCTGGGGGTTCGCCAAGGGGGAGCGTCCCCATCGAGGTCCGGGCACAGATGCCAAGTTCTGGCGAAAAGCCCACACCAAGCCCAACCAAGCCCCCTGCCATCGAGGCGATGCCGACTCCCAGACCCCATAGGACAGGGTGGAGGGAGGGTGGGTTGGAAAGGGGGAACCGATGACAAGGATCTACATGTGACCTCCTCCCCGGGGGACGGACAACAGAAAAGTGGGTGAAGGGAGACGTCGGACAGG